ATTACGCTTCACGTAATAATTATCCGTAACTTCTATTCTTTCCCGCTTCACAGCATTATTTATATTTGTTATTGGTATTTATTTTTGGTGTTATTGTATTGAACGTTTGATAAATTTGGAGTTGTTACGACAACTAGCCCGACCGACGCGCCATCTCCGAATGCGAGCCTAAATTACCTCGAGCTTCTTCAATTACCCTCGACTTAATTGATTTATCGACCGTGAGTATTACCCGCCACGAGCCGCCAAAAATTCGAAATAATTAAAAGTGTCAAATTTAATTTCGACGAAATTTGAATTTTTCTTTTCGTTGTTTGCGTCGACAATTGAATTTATTGTTAATTATACGTAATTAATTTACTCAGGCGTTAAAAAATGTTTTTTTATTAAGAATTATTTTTTTTGCTACAAGCGATCAATTTGACGGGGAATAATTATAATTCCGTATTGTTAATTATTAACCAATTTGAGTTGAATTAATTGTTCAAATCATTAAGTATTATTACTTCAATTAATTTTAAAAATAAATTAAATTGTTTATTGATTTGAAAGAAATTTAAATTGTTTAAGCTCGCCGTACAATTAGTTATTAACGAATTAGAGGTTAATTAATTGTTTATTCACTAGTGTTATTACTTTTATTTAATTTGAGAAAAATTAACCTGTTTATTCCGCCATCTAATTGATTATAAATTAATTTGAGGATTTTGTGCGACGTTGACGGACCGAAGTTAATTATTTTTTTTATTTAGTTTGTTTGTTTTACTTCGATTTCGATGATTTTTGTATCGATTAATTGATAAGGTCACCGAAACACTAATTATAGTAAATTATATGGTGTTATATTATATTACTATTTGCGAATTGTCGACTGATCACGGCTATAATTTTTTTTTGTTATTATTGTCGTTATCTCGACGAGAATTAAATCGTTACTAGACGAAATTTGCAAAACCTTATGAATTATATTAGCGACTGCTAAAATAAATTGTTAACTGAACGCTCGGTAATTAGCTTTTGTTTGCTTACTCCCTCCCCGAGATCCCGTAGATTTAATACTTTTGCTTTTCGCCGATTATTCGGAATCTTGAATCTCTTCATCATCGACCTGCTGCCCGACGACGATCAGCAACGACTTCGAACCTCGGAACGGTAAGTTCCTGGCGCCCAACCACCTTCGAAACCCAGGTAAGCCAATTTTGGTGGTGCTCTCCAGCCCTGTCGACGCCAGTGCCGGCAAAAAGCCCATTATATTATATATATATATATATATATATATATATATATTAATACTAAAAATCTATATATGAGGTACTGCACGCTAAATCAACCACTTCGACAGCTTATATTTCATGATTATGAATTTCTACTAGTTATTGTATTCAATAAGACAATTTTATTTTTTTTTTTATATTATTTAAGGCTCTTATTAAATATAATAATTAGTAAAGGTTTCAAGAAAATAATAAAAAAGATTTTTAAGTGGTAGGTTTTTCATAAAATACTCCGTATACATATATAAATATTTTAAATTATATTTTTTATTAGCGATAATAAATTAAAAAGTGCTTGTTATTTTTAGATGTTTAGAATACTCTTACAGCTATTTTTATTATGATTACACTGTCTAATGAATATGAAAATTATAAACATTCTAAAGTATCGCTGCTGTTGTGATAGAAATATTTAAACTAATAGTTTATAGTAAATTATAGTGCAAAAATATAAATTTCAGAGCGCTGGCGCCTTTTACATTGTATAAATTATTATTTATCAAATAAGTAGATATTATTTTTAGTAGTGAAGAAGAAACAATCTTAATTAAATTTAATAATCTGCATTTTTATTCTTTATTCTATTATTAAATATTCAAATATCTTTTGATGTAATCTAAAAAAATTCAATAAATAGTTTTTTGTCAAATTCATTTTTGGGTTTTATATTTATTTATTCAAAATATATTTTATACATTATCGATGATGTTTTTTTAAGACATAAATTTTTACATCATCTATTATTTATATCGGATAATTTTAAATTCAAAAATAATATTACCGGTATAAGAAATTATTTAATAACTATTTTTTTTTTGTTTTTTGTTATTTAATAACAAACAAATTAGTGCCAGCATACTGAAAAAGTCATTGACAATTACAATACAAAAATCATTAAAATAAATAATTTCCACTAAAAAAAATATAACCAATCGTTAACAGATGAATCACGAGTGTACCGAATGCCGCTATTACCTGACTCACAAAGAAGACGATATAATTTAATTTATTTCGCGGAAATAAATAATTTTCAATTAAAATAAAAAATAAATTTTAATTGTTGAAATTTTATAGATTTTAAAATGTTAAATAAAATAAAAATTGTTTAAAAAATTATTTTTTTTCTAATTATTAAGAAGTACTTGACTAGCGTAATGATAATCTGATGCTTTAAAATGTAAAAATATAAGATGTATATATGTATAGTTTAATTATTTATTTCTTCAAAAAAAAAATTTTTTTTTTATTTATAATGAAATTTATAATGAAATAAGTAATTTTTTAATAAACAATTAAAAATAATATAAAATTTTCGGATGCTAAAAAAATTTTCAAGTGGTTTTTCCATTTGAATTTAAAAAAATAATTAAGATTGAAATCGAATGTAGTTAAAATTTTCATAACGTGGGCACTGAAGGGATAGTTATGCTTCTGCAGAGCAAAAAAGGTGTTTAATAAAATTTTATTTCCTTCCAATCAACTCAGAAATGTTAAATTTCTAATGAAAATGAAGTTAGCTGACATCTCAAAATTTTTAGAATTTTTTTTATTGAAAAAATTGTTAGAAAAAAAAATTTCATTCGTAAAAAACTTGAAAAAGTATAAGTGCAATTTTTAAAAAATATTTTTTAGTTCTAATTTGATCAATGAAAAAAAATTAAAAACGTCGGCTAACTCAAGTATTATAAATTTCTATGATAGTGAAATCGAGAGACATCTGATAATTTTTAGAAATTTTTTAATTAATAAATAATGAGAAAAATGTACTAAAGAAATTCTATCTTTAGAAGCTCTAAAGAATTATAAGTACAATTTTTTATAAATAATTTTCTAGACCTAGTTTACTACTCAAGAAAAATAAAAAAAATTTTATGTGTCTGCCAATTTTAATGTCATGCTTTTTTTTTTATTTAACATCACTTTATAATGATATATAGTAAATATAGGAAGTAAATAATATTATGTGCAGTATGTTAAAATGTTATTTGAATGTTTCAGATTGTGTGATCTACATCTGTATTTATACTACTACATCCCATCATTTGTTGTCAATTAATAGATTCTTTGTCAAGTCACAGTATTTACGGTTTTCGTAAACTAACAAGGGTATTAGTATTATAATAAAAATATTTTCCAAAATGGTGAACCAAAGAATTTATTTAAATCGTAACGCACTCTCTTATGTTTCGCATCAATTAAATCTAACAAATGTTGGCAACTTAATTATGTGTATCAAGCCATTGAAGATGACAATTTGGAAGGTGTTAGAATGATATTAAATAATGGAATGGATGTAAATGAACCTATAATAACAACTGGACAATTTACTGGTGCAGCAACAATCTTGGTGCAGTTACTAGTTAATAACTATAAAGCAGATGTCAATGCTACGGCTGCTGATGGGACTCGATCCATACATTTGGTTTGTTTTTATCAACCTCATCCCAAGCAAATAGGACTTTTTATTAAAGGACATACATATGGCGCAATAATATATACATTGGTACAAACTAATGCGAATGCTGATGCTGAGTTTGGACGAGATATTTTTTTAAAACATTTTGAAGACAGTGATTGGTGTCCCGATTTTGGTGACAAAATAACACTATACTCATTTTTACTGTTCTTTATGATAGACCATTATTTTTGCATCTACTAGAAGCAAAAATTAACGAAAACATCATAAGTCTTAAAAATAAAACATTACTGATGTACGCTCTCGAGAGCGCACATGACGAACTCTTCATGGAGTTTATTGAAAAACTGTTTAAGGGTCCTACTAAGTTAATAAATCATCGCGATAATTATGGTGTACTATTATTCTAATTAAAGATAAAAAATCAGCTACAGACGTCCAGAGCCTCTAACTGTCTCTCGCTACTGATTTTTTTATTGATAATTATTTTCATTATTTTCATTAAAAATAAAAATTCAATCACAGCCGCCTAAAGCCTCTTACTATCCCTTACAACTGATTTTCTAAATACTAATTATTTTGATTATTCCAATTAAAAATTAAAAATCAGCGGCAGACGTTCAGATCCTCTTACTGACCCTCGCTACTGATTTTTTAATGGATAATTACTTCAATAATTAAAAAAAAGAAAAAAATTTCTGGAACTGCGGCCTAGTTTCTTTGCTTGAGCCTTGCTATTGATTTTTTTAAATAAAAATCTCTCTAATAATTCCCAATAACATCTACTGTTTTCGCCGTTTTATTTAACAAAATTTTGTGCCTGTAACAAATTAATAAAAACATCCTTACTTACATTCATACGCGCATTGTTACTGACACACTAACGCTTGCGTACACTAGTGTACAGTCTCACACATTAATCTAGCATCACGTACGTCCGCCGTCTACGGTCGGTCCGTCCCCACTCTCGGTCTACTGCGTGCGAAGCCGGCAGCATCTCTAGCGTCTCACTCTCGCATTACCCACTGCCTTCTCACTCAATTTTTATTCTTCTCTAGCGCGCTTCTGATTGGTCACTTTCATTAATTAATAATTAATTATCTATGCGTCTGATTAAAAAATGCCTAAGGACTTTTCGTCTCAGAATAATTTCCTCTTTCGATCCCTACAAGGAAGTGCGTGACTTCTGGGACACCCTGTATATATTGAAACGTGGCTGGTCTCGACTGTTCGTAGAGTGAACAAATTTTTACATTCTAAAATAAATTATTTAAGTTCATTAAATTATTAATTAATTACATAATGAATTATCTAAATTTTAGTTTAATAAATTCTACGAACTGGGCCAAAAAGACACGCCCGTTACACCCGGAGTGTAACCAACTCGAAGCTGTAGCTTATAAGAGTCGATGCTGCTCCAGATGCCTGTAGCTTTAGATGTTACGGCGGACCAAGCCGATAGCTTTCAAAGCCACAAATAGCTAAATTGATTTAATTCGCGTAAAGAATATGGTCCAGGGCAAATCGTGGGTGGCGATACTCATTGAAAAGTGGGTTCAGCTCTGACACAAAACCAACCTTTACCGCGTACTGCTCCGCTGATCGCTTAGTCGGGAAAATAGAGCTAAATGGTCCTCAAATACAAATACTGAAAAATACAGCTCAAAGTAAGTTCAATACCGCGTTCAATTCTTACCAATATACCACCTGACTTACAACAGGTACTACTACCACTTCAGTGTGCTTTAACGTTGTTAAGCGGTGGTAGATTCCTCGTGGCTGCAGCGGGGCCGGTTACTGGATCAGGAACAGGCGAATAATCGAGGTGACCAACAACCAGGATCTTCCTCGAACAATGGAACGACGCTTTCTTCAACAAAATGGCTGACTACTCGAGACCTCTTGAGTACACGACATGCCAAGCGACTTTATCTTGTAGATGCGTCGTAATTATTTAATCAATGTACGACATACTCCTTGTTAACTAATAATCAGAGTCGTATCGTACTATTGTAGATTAAAATGCCGTTAATATTTAAGAAACGGTGTAAAATAATAAAATACCGAACATTACGTTGTAACACGGTAAAAATAATTAATTATATTTTAACAAATATATCAATTACAGAAGTATACATTATGGGGTTTGAACAAAGACTGGCTTGCACGCGGCTTCCGCGTACATTAATTAACGTTGGGTAGTGGGGAGACGTTCTAGCGCCACTCTTAAACGATTTTCGTACTATTAGTGATTATCACCTAATTTATAATCAGATTTTTACATGTTATCTGCCAACGATTTAGCATCAGGTGGTGAGTTGGTGTTTAGTTAAAGTGAGCCAACTGGCCACTTCGCAATATATTACACCGGCACATAAAAAAAATTAAGTAGAATGTGCATTTGACCGGACCTACCTACGGGTACGTATTTTGGTCTGCTGAATCCGGATTCGAGGTCAGTTTGACCCATACACCCTCGAAATTTCGAGAAAACTTCGAAAAACCGTAAAAATGATGAAAATCGGCAGTTTTAATGATAAAAAAATTTTTTGGAACTAAACTAAGCGTGATATTCATGTATTTCGATCCGCTAAATATGAATCGAAACTTTATTGAGACCACGAGCCGTTTTAAATGTAAAAAAATCACACAAAACTCTCGAAAATTCAGAAAAAATATAGTTTTCATGATAAAAAAACTTCTTCTGGTCCAATTCAGATAAAATTTTATATCTTTTGATGTCTTCAAGTCGTAACTTAATTTTTTTAGTCTATTCACCCTCTAAAGCAGGAAAAATTCCAAAAAAGTTTGGAAAATCCAAAAGTGCACGCCTCATAACGCTCATTCATTTTTTAAGAAAAAAATTAATTGTGTAATTAATTAAAAAAAAAAAATTATAATTAAGTAATTTCTTACAGAGTATTTTTTATTTTTTTTTTTAATATCGGTGCCCTTTTTTCTTGTCATACGCGCACGCAGACTAAAAAAGTCTAACTTGATCAAGTGGCGCCATAGTTTTCACGTGACAAATAAGAAAAGTTCGTTTGGCTTTGTACGGTTGTATCGTAGTGAATATTAATAAAAATTCGATTAAAAAAAAAGTACGTAAACTAGGCCATTTATATGAAATACGGATCCAGTTAATTGAATTCTTAAGCTAATAAAAAAGGTCCGGTCTTGAAATATCAATTTGTTCGAGAGTAATCGTTGGTACATCCAAAATGGGGTGACGTCCGGACGTCCACAAAATTTTTTTCAAAACGTTTTTTTTTTTAAATAGCAACATGAAATGATTTTAGAAAGTTAAAGATGGTTTAATTTAAGTGTTTTCTCGGTGTACATCTACTTATATTATTGTATAAGTGTAATATGGTTGTTATAGAGGCATTTAAAGATCACAAAATTGCTTGACCTTGACGAGTCGAGTATAAAGCACAACCTCACGCGCTTCGCGCTATGAGGCGTGCATAATTGTAAAAATTACCATTCATAACAGACAAAAAATTGATTGAGCATGATTTAATGCCTAAAATAAATACTCTATAACATAGATGTATCAAATAACTTGAAATCTGTGAAAAACACAAGACATAAAAAGATAGAAAGAAATGATTTTTACGAATCCTAAACTTTACTTCGTTTGTATCGCACTCTTTTATCCTTAAATAATCTTCGTAGTGGATTCCTCTTTCGTTAACGATTTTCTTCAGGTACTTCTCTTTTTAACATCCAACAAAAATCTGCCATCATGTTAACACTCCAATTTCCTTGATATCTACTCGCCATTTCACTGATGTCTTAGTGAAAGGTTCTCCCTGTTCTTCACTATAGTCTCCACAATTGTCAGGGAAGTGGTCAAGATGAGAATCTAAAAAGTGTAATTTGAGATTCATTAAACAACCCAAACGTTTGTAGTTTTCTAGCAATGCGTCAACTAAAGTGCTGTAATCCTCACTTTTGTTATTTCCCAAAAAGTTTTGTGAAACATTTTTGAAGCTTACCCAAGCTGCATTTTCTGTGTCGTTCATTGTTCCTTTAAAATTTGCATCCTGAAATAAAGATCGTATTTGGGGTCCATTAAAAATTCCCTCTTTCAATTTCGCATCACTTATTGCAGGGAACTTTCCTCTCAAGTACGCAAAACAATCACCATCTTTATTCAGAGCTTTCACGTACTGTTTTATGAGTCCCAACTTGATATGTAGTGGTGGCAGCAAATATTTGGAAGGCTGAATTAAGGGTGGTCGTATAACGTTATGGGAACCTGGATTCAATGCAGATCTTGATGGGCATTCTTTTTTGACATAGTGATTTTTCCGGTCTCTGCTATTAAACAAACATAAATAGCAAGGATATTTGGTGAATCCCGATTGCTGACCTATAAGAAGTGTTGCAATTTTGAGATCTCCACAAATTTTTCAGTCATGCTCTCAAAATTTTATTTTTTCCAATACAATCTATAAATTTTCATAAGTTTCTTTCAGTTTTGTCGAATGAGCTATTGGAATCGGCACAAATTCATTCCCAATATGAAGCAAAACAGCTTTAAGACTTCGTTTCGATGAATCGATAAACAGTCTCCACTCATCATCCTTATACGTGTTCGGTTTCAATTCATCAACTAAAGCTTTAACATCTGAATAGTATATCACCGAATTTTGATTGTCGTTCATAAAGATTTCCGAAATTTTTTTTCCCTATTTCGATAGAATGTCACTGATACACCTTTAGCCAACAAATGTTTTTCTTTCAACCTTGACGCAAGTAATTCAGCTCCATCTTTCGGTAAAGCCATGTCTCGAACCAGATCATTAAGTTCTTCTCGGCTAAATGTTTCAGGGTCTTTTGTTTTTCCGCCAGGTAAATATTCTTCATCTTCTGAATATTCTTCTTCCGAACTTTCATCAACTAGCGTATCGTCTTCTTCTACATCCATTTCTTCAACCGTATTAATTTCCTTGACAACTTCTATTTTTTGTGGCTTAATAGCTGATGAAACATTAGCGTATAAAATTTTGTTTTTTGTATTCCAGGTGAACCCAGTAGTATCTGTCATACAGAAATAACAATTCTGTAAACCAGTTGGTGAAGACCATATCATTGGTATTGTGAATTTCAAGTTGTCCTGTTTCTTGTTTTTTCCCACCGGGTTAACATCATGTTACATCGACTACAAATCGTATGTGGAACCCATGCTGAATCAAAATTAGTAATTTGGAGACCAAAACATTCTTCATAAATTT